TACGTTTTATCACGGCCTGTAGGCGTAATCAACCACGGCGATGTGAATGTGGCATAATTAATCTAACTGGAAGAGATGACTCTCTTGGAAGCGTAAATAGAAGTAATGGTAAGTGAATAATGACCGTCACGTGTGTAACACCATACGAATAATAAGGCTATTAAATGTAATATAATTAAACGGAGCTAAATCTCTTGGCGGGGGATCTCGTGTCTAATTATTTATTCTTTGAATATTTGAATTTTTATACATATTTCGTTTTTCTCGTTTTGAACGTCAATTATTCGAAAATGCAGCCTTAGAAGCTGAAATATGAAATTCACGTTATTAAATTGACAATCAATTTGAAAATTGATATTTATTAAAGAGACGATTAATTGAGATCAGGCAGATAATCTGATTTCTAGATCTAGATTTTAGAGAATTGGGATAAAAATGTATTTTATACTGATGAATTGAACTCCCGCTTTGCGTTTGACGATGAGCAATGAACAAAAAAAATTGCTATTTATATGTTAACAGAATTGATAAGAACCCTTTCGAAAAAAATATCCTGGATATAAAATAATATCAAAAGAAGTTGATCTGTGAAATTATTCAAAATAAGAGGGACGTAAAAATTCTCTTCATATCAAAAGTATAAAAATTTCTCTTTAAACGTTTGCGAAAAATATTATTTCAATCAGGATTGAATCCCTCCCTGTAGGTACGAGTTTTCTCGTTTATTCACTTTCGGAAGATAACATTTCGTTTAAAATGGTGTCGGTCGAAAAAAATTTGTTTGCTTTGATCGCGCTCGACCGATGCCTGGCACCACCGAATTCGAGTCACGCGACTCCGACCAAGAACCAATTCCAATTATCCGTGTCCCGGATTTTTTCGAAAAACCCGCGAGAAGACCAAAGTATTTCAGGCACAGACCCCCAGGTCCGGGATGCACGTGCCTCGCTCTCGCTACACGCCAACATTGTGCCGACGAGGAATTTTCGCGCGAGATATGAGGTGAAGTCGCGCTCGCTCGCGCTAGGTGTATAGAATTTTAATTTTTAATATCGGGGCGCACACCGACCGCGCGGATATCGGTTTACACGGGTTTCACCCCCTCCCCCCCCTCCCCCCCGCGCCTCGCGAGCGCCACGTTCGCCCGTGAAAGACATTCGTCTCGTCGACGAGCCCGAGGGTTGGCGTGTATTTACGAGCGCGCGCCGTTTCGGCAACGCGAAGGAGCAGGAAGCTTTAGAGGCGCAAACACTCGGACAGCGCGTTATTAAACGGCCCGTCTGTTTCACCGAAACTATAACGAAAAGTCGGTCGCGTTAAGTTTCCGAAAGAGTTTTGCTCCACGCCACTTGTCGAACTTCATGAAAAATTCGTCGCGGCGACGGTCCCGCGCGAGATGGCCATGCAAAAAGACCGAGCGGGTCGGCGTGATCCAACATCACCCGCGACTAAAGGTATAAAACTCGAGCGTATTAAGTTTTCGAAAAAGCTGTCACGAGCTGTTCCCGAGTTTTCCTAATGATGAAAAATTCCGCCGCGGCGGAACGGTCCCGCGGGATGGCCGTGCGAAAGGATCGAGCAGCTCCAGCATTACCGCTTCGCCCTCGGTCAAAAGTATAAATTAGCTTGGGTAGAATTAAATTTTCGAGAGAGCTGCCGCGCTGCTTCCGAGCAGCTTTCATCGCGAAAAATTCATCACGCGGCGATGGTCGCGCAAAGAGATCGAAGAGATCCAGCGTCCGACAGGGCGGTGCGCGTCGGTCCTCGCCCGTGACATAATTTTCCGTCGCGTCGGCGCCGGGGGGGGGGGGGTTGAAAGACGATTCGTCTTATTGCCGCCTGCCTGCGCGATGTCGTTATGTCATATCGCGGGGAGGAACTTGCCGCGATCAATAGACACTTCTGTACTCGGCGCCGGAAAATTAAGCCGGCCGCAAAGTTTGCATTATGGAAAGTTCCCTTATCGGCCGAACGGTCGACGGGGCCCTTTTGTGAAAATTCCCGTTTCGCCGCTCGACGAAGGAACGAGCGGGCGGGGGCGAGGGGGGGAAAACGGGGACGTTATTACGCTCTCTCGCCTTCTTCTTCCTCTAGGTTGCCTAGATAAATATCCCGGTGTACATTATTGGGGGTGGCGGAGCGTCTCGGAGAGATTGAAGGTGAGAATTTACATCCTCCGCCTATCTGCGATGCACCCGAGGGATTCTCCCCGGTAGTTTTTCAGCCTAAGAAATTTAGCGGAAGCACAAGCAAGCGCTCTGCGCTCTGCGCGGTACATTTTCTCGCTTTTCACGACGCTCTCGGATGTGCTTCGAGAGGAGGAAAGAAATGAGAAAATTTAGTCGCAAAGTTCTTGAACTGTGCAAAGATAAAAGAACCTGCCGTCAAGAGCAAAGATATACATATCCTCTGTGTGTGAAATAAAGATGATATCAAAAGCGATTTTTAGAAGCGTAAAATTTAATTAGCAATATACTAGCAGTGTAGTTTGATTAGTAATCGTAAAATTATTCAACATAAAGAATAGATCAAAATTAACTGATATTATTAATTTTCGCGAAGAAAAATTTATAACTCAAGAAAAGATAGATTGTTTTTTTATTAAGTATAATTCGTTAAATAGAATCAATATAAATTGATATAAAAATTCAACTTGGGATGTATGTGACAGCAATTGATTCATAGCCGGAGTTTGATCCTGTTTATAAGAAGCTGATTGAAAATTTAAGAGTCGCCAGTGAATGAAGAAATAAATCATATTCTATATAATATGTACAAATATGTATAACAATCATATTTTAATATAAAAACAATATCATCAGTTTTCAATCATTTATATGCATTTATTCTCAATTAATATCGCGTACACGCTTATATGTATAAGTGCGCAGCATTTTATGCCATCTTTCCTCAAAGAACAATTATATCATCTTATTTTATTTACATAAAAACAAGACGTTTGACAAGATGCGCTAATTAAAAATATCCTTTCTATAAAAGAAATATACATTCTATTACAATAAGAGAAACAATATTTAAAATTATTCACTTTTATTTACGCGCTTCTTGCCATCTTATTTAATTGTGCATTTCACTACGCGCGCTTGAAATTCTCACAAAAGAAAATATTACCCAACGTGATTACATAGCTCCATGACTAATAAACTATGTAAAATTAAAATTATATAGCAATTTGACCGTTATGTAGGCTAGGCTGCATGAAAAGATAGTCTTTTTAATGAAACGTTTCCTCTGCAACAGATGAAAACATTTCTGATAGGATGTTCTCTATAGAACCGTATAGATTTTTCATATATTTTGTGTGAGACACATGTTTTTCTTGTGTTTATCTAAATCGCGAAGTGAGTTTGCCTCCAGTTTTTCTAGTTATCATATTGCAAAATTACATGTAAATATCTATTTTATGGATAGTATTACAATGTATCGCAGCTAAGAATGTATCGTTATGGGCGGAGATGGGAGTAAAAGTGCTTAAAAATCTTTGTAATTTCAGAAAAATATGCCTTGGCGATAGACACATCAATGACAGTTCACGCAGCTGTCGTAAAACATCTGTACTAATATTTAAGTAAACATGATTCGACAGGTACAAGTTTCATATCTTATTAGGCTCTCTAGACTTTCTGAAAGGAAAGGGAATATATATACAGTACGTATACTTTCAGCACAGACGATTAGTCGTCGAAATAATATGTTTGTTCAGGTTTCCAACCAAGGGTCTGAATATATCTAAAACAGAATGACGTGTAATTAATTAAGAAACAACAAAATATTGAAAACGATAAATTCAATAATTCACATCACACAATCTTTTTTTACAATAAAAGTTAAATATTATTTGACGCTTATTATAAGAAATATACATTTAATAAATAAAAAATGCATGTACTTTTTCGCAGATAATATAAATCCTTTTGGTCCGCAAGTAAATACGCATCCCTCCGGTGAACACTCGCCTATCAGTTCATTTAATAGTTTTCCGGATACAGTACCACGTCTACCCTCCCATTTATCTCCTGCTTGTGAAAGGATATGTGTAACTTTGAACCTGACGAAATTCGAAGATATTAATAATCTGTATCTAGTTAAAATAAAATCTCTTTTTATGTTTGGAATAAAAGATGTATAATATTATTTCATAATGGATACGATTTTTAGAATATGATATTGTATCATTTATATATTTTAAATATAAATGTGCGTTCTTCTTTGCAAAAATTTAAAATATATTCATTTTTATGTATATGTACTTACTTTTCTTCTGTAGATACTTTATCAAGCTGTGCCACATAAAACATATTGTCTTCATCCTTATTGAAATTTAGAAGATTGATTAGTTTTCTGGAAAAAATGTTAAATCAATTAATATTAAACAAAAATAATTAATATAACATATTAATCAAATTAAATTCGCTGTTATTGTTATGTATTGTTAATGTTATATTTTTTGACTTTTACTTTATATTACATTTTATATCACAGTTACAAATAAAAAATGTTCTCAAAAATGAAATAAATGTTAATACTTACTCAAAAATGTTAATACTTACACATTGCGCCTTGCTAATGCTCGCTGAATTATTCCTAACATCACGGTTAAACCCGTTCCACCTGCCAGCATGTGAATGACAGGATACCGATCGAAAGATTCGGTTACAAAGGCACCTAAACCATTGCTCATTATAAGAGTTTGGCCAGGTTGTAATTTGGTAATGGACGGACTGAGTGCGCCATTTGAATATCGCTTTATCATCAAGCAAATGCAATCAGGCGTGTAATTTGGCGCCATATCTTCGGGATGAAGGCACGGTGGGACAGGCGTATATGACCTTGATACTTCCATACCTATAGCAACATATTCAAATATCGTATTAATACAATTTTTGATAACATACTTTTACAAATATATATGCTATTTATACATATAGATTTTCAATTTCCATTTATAGATAAAATATAATCTTACTTATATTTAGATATTTTATCAATAAATTAACATTTTTTGGAATTATCTACATTATTACTTACCCATTACATCCATTTTGACTTCTACGTGTCTACCGGCGGGAATTAGTTCTAGAAAATCTTTGGTACGTAAAACTAATAAATTAACTAGTTTGCAAAGGGATGTGTTACTGAGTACTTCGTATTCTTTGTAAGTGCGTTTGTTTGTGATTGATTCTCGTAATAACGTATGACTTCCCTGAGATTTCCAGATATTTTTAATTTTCTTTGTGAACGTAAAATCTACCTGCAATTTAAGATATGTTTTTTAAATTTATGAAATATGCCCTAATATGGTAACCATTTATATGGTAACCATTTATAAGTGAAATCAACAATTTACCTGCATTGTATCGAAATCTCTTTTACACATTGGCGGCCATTCTACATCTGCAGTTAAATCGAACTCGTGGATGATAATGTGCTTTTCAAGAATTAGCCTAAAAATGATCTTTGAATCATTCAACCTTTCTAATTGGTAATATACTCCCGAATAGTTGCGTACACCTTGATAAAAAAGTGTGATAGAATTGGATGTTTGCCGCCAATCCATATTTACATTAAATGACTCCGGCGAATTTTCAACTGTCTTTTGCGCTGAAACAATAAAAATTTGCTATGACTATTGTCTTAATATTTTAACTTTATGCATGAATAAATTCGATATTTTTGCAATTGATTATAATTATCTTTATCCAACATTCTAGTTGTAAAAGTATTAATTCTACAAACGGTAATAAATTAAAAAAACATTAAATAGGAGTATCACTAGACTTAAATAAATAAAATAACTTAGAAATATTATGTAAATATTAATTATGCTTTGGAAAATAATGAAATTTTGAAATTTATCGATTTATAAAAAAGCATTCCCTTTTATTATAGTTTGTGTTGCTTGAGAATAATACAAACTTATGCATGAGCTCTATAATGAGCCAGTATCTATGATTTATTAATTCAGCAATGGTTCTCTAAATATAGATAATTTAAAAAACACTAGAGTGCAACTGATAACAATGAGTACTCACTGGTGGCACATTTGCTTCGACCTAATGTTACAGATAAACAGTTATTCGCGCTTGTAATCGACCTTTCCGTAACGGAGGAAGTGCTCGAAGTGGAAGAAGTACCGCGATTTAATCTACCCACGATGCATTTTTGTAAAATGCTTTGATAATTCACCCAAGCGTGCACCTGGAATTAACGATCTACGGGTACATAAAAATAATTACCGCTTAGCGAAAATGATATAGTGACGTAAATCGTGCGATGAGAAAGTAGAGGTTCTTACGTTTTCAAATAACTTCGTGGCGTCTTTCCCGACGCCTCTCATCAACTCGTCCACTCCACCCGGATGGAAGTCCATATAACGCGTAACATTGAATACCACTCCTGCAATCGAAATGAAAATTCTGAGATAAAAATTAAGCAAAAATTTCAAATTCATGAGTTAATCAGCGATAAGAAATTTAATCACTTTGGTATAATCATGCTAGCAATCAAAGTGATTTCGATTATCAATTGAGTAATTAAGTAATCTGACTTAACTATTTAGCGTTGCAAATTCACTTCACGTTTAGCTAAATCATTTTATATAAACAACATATCATTATAACATATTATATATATTATGAGCGACATACTGTTAATTATGTATTCGTAAATAATTGCCGATTGGCAAAGAGACCCTTCTTTTAACAGACACAAAGTGCAAAAATAAACAAACCTCGGATTGCAATCCAAGCGTCGGTTTGCTTGTTATGATTAGCAAGTTCGGATAATGTTACGACTCGTGGTACACCACCGACTCCGGTTAAATCGACTCCTGAATTACCCAGACGAATCCAATCCATCAAACTGTGCCCCGGTGCTAAAGCCGTCTTATTCCGTGGGTTTCCTATAAAAAAAAAAAATCGAAAGTAAAGATTCATCGCTGCTGTTTTGTTATATCTTTCATCCATGTAAATTGCGGCAACATATTTAGAGATATATAAATCTAAATTTATCAGAGACTATTAAACAATTTATTTTATCCAATTATTTAATTTAATAATTAACTCATTCATTAACGATCCGCAATTACAACGTCTTTAATATTTCAGTTAAGTTCTTTAAATAAATTTTCAGTTATATTACATTTTTTTTAATTTTTAACACGCGTCATAATTTTTTGTAACAAAGTTTACAAGTTACAAAGAAAACATTGTTGGTGTTTGAAAATTTGTTTTCCCTCTATCGACATCGTCCTCGTTCGCTCAAGCTACGCATTGCAAATTAGTGGCCTGGAGCATAAGGGCGCCATTTATCTACAACATACACGTGCACGTGCGCGTGCACGTAAATGCGAAAATAGATTAATTGGCAATTATACTAATTACTAACCGTCCTGGATCCGCAGACCGAGGCTCTGCGGAGACCCATCGCCATCCGCGGCGGAAACCAAAGAAGCGCCGCAGCATCGTGGCATTTTTTCATCGGAACGACAGGAATTGCGGGGACACGATCATTTTTGCATTTGCTTCTTTGCAAAAAAAACGCGAAAGCGCGATGAAGCTTTCAGAATACGTCACAATTCGTGGAGTTTGCCTTGACAACATTGAAAAATTGAATTTTCTTAACGCGTTTAACACGGAGAGATAATAAAACGGAGAAATAAGCAGGGCAGACGAAGGTAAAACAAGGTTTGCTTTTCAAAGAAACGGCGAACGAAACGTATTAATGGCGTCGAACATTAAAGACGTAATAATGTCACGGGTAGGACGGATATCGATAACATGATACGGTGTAGACGACGATAGAGAAAATGTAATATATACATATGTATGTATTGCGCAAACTTATGTATCGACGCCTCGACTACCGTGAAAACCAATTAAAACTAGTTAAAATGTAATTATAAGCAATTAGTCTCATTTATGAGAGACGAAAATATCGTGTAAATTTAACTTTAATCAGATTTGTAAATATTCGCATTCGTCATCACCGATTAAAAATTTTTAATATTTGACGTGCCGATAACTGTTTGACATTCAATATCTTATATATATATATATATATATATATATATTTATTTTTTTTTT